ACTTTCATGTGATTTCGTGTCGTGTTGTGCAGGTTACATGTACTTAAGAAAACGTGAGCTTGTTGAACCGTCAGCGTTGTGGCTCGCCTTGCATTGTTATCGAGGCGGCGTGCGCCAGCTGGCTGTTTTGTTCGTGGTGAGTGATTGTGCGAGCGTATGAAGTCGTACCCCAAATGCGTACGCTCGAGGATATTATTTCAGCTTTTTGGCGAGCTTAGCTACGTATTTTCAAGCAGACGATGCAGAAGAAAAAAACCAACACGCACGCGGCAAATTGTTTCGTTTGCTGCCACGAGGGTAGAGCTTACGTTTACGCTGGCTGTCCCAGCGTTCAATTTTGCGATCTTCGGGCAGCTTCGGGTTGTCCCGGGTTTGCTGCCACGAGGGTAGAGCTTACGTTTACGCTGGCTGTCCCAGCGTTCAATTTTGCGATCTTCGGGCAGCTTCGGGTTGTCCCGGGTTCCCCACACACGTGACCATGACGCTGTTTCCTGTTTATATCGGAACTAGCTGACTGACCCTCTAGTTGCCAAAGGCCTGAAAATCGAAGTACTGCCAGGGAAACCCAACTGGTTTGTCAACACAGGATTTACCCCGTAGCAGCTCGCCACAAAGTGAAGGGAGCAAATGCGGCTGTTCAGAGGCGTCCAGTCCCTCTGTTCAACGGTGCGTATGAAGTCAACCCACTGGCTGCGTTGAGGTTCATGGCTTGGTAAGGCATGAAACGCCGCTAACTTTCTGCGCCTCGACTTGCAGGTCCTTGCTATGCAGCAGCTCCCCTGACATTCTGGCATGTATTGTCGCTCTGAATTATCGTACTCGCACGCAGTGGAGCACAACGCAAATCAGTCGATGTGACACGATGAATCCCACGCACGCTTCGACACAGCAAGGAGATTCACTAGCTGGGAGTTGGCTCCAAACACACTCAGAGATCGTCGACGTCATCGTTACTAGCGTATCGTCACTCAAGATGGTATTTGTGGAATCTATCACACTGAAAATGTAGCACTAGTGTTGATGTCACAGGGCAGTCTATTTTTTGTTTTTTCTCCTTGGCTTTTCTATGGTGTTCGACGTCGAAATGAAATAACTTCGATGCGACGTACGCCATTCAAATTTGGCCAAGAATACTTATGCATACCAAGTGATCGAATGATGGGCACATCTTGATTTGACTTTTTGCTTGACTCGAGTAGATGTGATAGAAGCAACAGTACCTTCAACCAGTACTGGGACACAGCCCAACTGTGTCCCACCACTCGTTAAAGGCAAAACTTCTCCATTCAACAAATATGAATAATAAAGACAAAATAACATATGAGCATTCGTAAACTTTACCCAATTATGTAAAATTCACACAATACCCCCATTACTCTGTTACACATTTTTACCAAGTTATATCATCAACCGAGCAACACGTGTGAGCTAGACAAAAGGCACGACCGCGTTCATATCAAATTAGTTAAGTGCCGTCGTATTTCGGTTCTTGCATGAATGTTGTTAAGGTGGTGTTTGTGTGCATACCTCATTATGCGACTGTTTTAACAGCAAAGCTGTTAGCCAAACCATAAAAACTGAAAAAAAAAATAAAAAATTAGTTTCACCGGTGAAGAGATGACTTTAAGAGCAAAAATTTGTAATGATAATGCTGCACGCCCTTTCTATTTTTGTATCGTGTAACGCTGCCTTGCGCAATTCGCTCCTGAATGACTAGGAAGAATCTAGATAATCTCAGAACCTTTCGATGAGATTACGCGCACAACGCATACATTGGAGTTTGTTCTGGAACTTGCGCAGCTCCTAGCCATAACGCGGGAATTTTAGATGGCGCATGCAAGGTCAATTTAAATAGATTGCGAAAGTCTGAACGAAAAGTGGTCTCAAACCCATTATCAAAAACAGCGTGCGCGACTAGGTGAGGGGGGACAAATAGCGAAAACAAAAATAACTAAACGTTTATTTTCAGTAGTTTCAAATTTTTTGTTACAATAATAGTGTAGATTACTTAAAAATGAAGTTTTGGTATGTGGCTGAATGCCCTTTTTTTTTCGTTTGGTTTGAAAAACGGCGTGCACATGCACGTAGTCTGGTAACACGGGCCAACAGATTGGGGGGAGAATCCAGGCTTGTATCGGTATGTTCTTTAGTTCGGCGCATTACCAGGTCAACGAGGCATCACTCACTTTTCCGTGGTGGTTTCGTGCGTACCTACAGGAGTTCACTTATTTTTTAGGTGCATTTTATAGCTCAACTATAGCTCACAGAATGTGTAGATGTGACCGCCGACTGCTTTCGCTGGTGCACGGCCAGCTTGCCCTCGCTTTTGGTGACTGTAAACGCGAGAGCCTAAGCAACAAGACGCTGTACTCTACGGCTGCCAAAGCTATTTTTAAAACTGCTGTCTCTGCAGTAGTTTTCAATGATTGGGCGATGTGAGTTTTCGAACTATTATGCTATTGTGCTCGTAAACAGTTGTCTCACAATTGCCTCTGCGAAGTTTTTTGTGCATATTGCAAGTTTGTTATTTGGCTAATAAAACAATTTTGCTTCCTCAATCTATGTTAGTTTTGTTTCTTTTTTCTCGCATAAAATTAGCGAGACACAATTGAGACGCAATGAAAACGCGTAGTAATAAAGGCATGTAGCAGGCCAGCAATTAAGAAAAGTTTCAATTTCATGCCATATAGGGCAAATGCGCGACGTTGCAACCGCTTCCGGTTGTGACGTCATATTTTTATTTTTTTTTTGCTGTTGTCCTCTCATCATGTAGATGGCGACGGTGGCAACTAGCCGCTGACTACTGGATCCATGGACTTCTATGGAAGTTACGCTACCAGTTACATATACCTACCAGTTACATATACCTTGGCACATGTATAAATGCCGACGCACTTTGCTGCTTGGCAGATTATGACGGCCGACGCTCTGGTTTGCAGCTTTCAGTCTACAGCTTATATTGCTTGTAGAGTGACGTTTTGTTTTCCGGCACAGGTTCGCCCAAATAAGGTTCACTCATGAAAACAGCGGCTGCTGTCTTCGTCAACCTCGCGATCCACGTGACAATACAAAGGCTGAAAGCTAACGCTTTTAAATCCGGCATCGCGGTACTCTGCAAACCGCTGGTGTGGGATGTACAGCCGCTCCAGGAGAAATGCTATCGCACAATCTTCTTCCATTGAGAGCGCACCACGTGAGCCTCCCGCTGATGCTTGCCGATAGCGCACTGCTGCTTGAGCGACCCCCTCTTCCCCCGCACATTTTTTCATGCTTGTTCAAGACGGGCGGCAAGTTTCCTCTCTGCTTGAGCATTCGACAGCAGGTCTAACACGCGGTGGGATAGTATCGCGTGCGCCCTCTATGCGACGGAGATCGGCCACCTCGTTTAATCTCTGCTTGCGCAGCGCTCATCACTCCAGCTTGCCCAATTATACGCGCGGGTAGAATGTATGCACGGGGAATGTTACATACTTGTAGTTTACATGGAACACGGCGGCAACGGGGTATCCTAATAAAAAATAATCACTCAATTGCCTAGCACTGGCGTAACGAGCTGATCTAAATTCCTGCTCCAAAAGACTGAAGCCCGCTTCCACCCCTGCATAAACAAGACCAAAGAAATTTCTGCCTGGCGCATTTCTTAGGTTCCATATTATACCTTCACTATATTGTCGTCTGTTGCTTTACGTATCGCACGACATATCTGACTTTAACCACTACTTCACTCACGTCTGTAAATTAAATTTATGCATGCTATCTAGACCATATTTTCGGTTCTGCTTGAAGGTCGTCTGGTTTGTCTAGGCTAGAAGTGCCATCAGCAGAAGCTTGCCGGGCTACACATGCCTTTTATTATTATTATTATTATTATTATTATTATTATTATTATTATTATTATTATTATTGTTATTATTGTTATTATCATTAATATAAATCTAATTCAATTCACATTAAAAAGTTGTCTGTAAATACAGCAGTTCAGGCAATAAATCTATCCCATCCACATCCCAAGTGGCGTGGGCTACTGCCATTATAGTAAAATATATTGTGCTCCAGTGGCAGAACTGGCCAGGCTCTTGTGTCCTAATTTTGCACAGATGCCACAAGATGGCACTACTGCTTCCTAGCAGCTTTCACTGCGATGTTGGAATATTGCAGGCTCTTTCAAACTTTCATCTGCGGTTACTTTCAACTTGTGTTTCAACTTGTGTGTTTACTTCTCGGTTCTTCCGAACATCAAACAGCTGACTTGCTCACTGCCTGGCTCAGGGTCTTTATTCCATGTTTACTGCATGCGCTCGGAACATTCTGAGTGCGTCGAGTAAATATGTTTATTTATATGAAGCACCCATTTTTTTTTTACCATTCGAGGTTTCATTTACACCGCGCAGTTTTTTATGCAGTTGTGGTGGTCGTGGAATTTGCTTTTAATCATCATGGAAAACCTGTAAAAGTTGGGGAATTTAGAAATATCAAATTGGTAGGTACCCTAATACCAACTCGGTAGGTACCCTGTTTACAACCCGAGGTGGCTGCTTGGCAGCACTGCCAGTGTTGCGAATTGGCATTTTGAATCACGCAATATACTGGTCCTACAAGTCAATGTTAGAGATATTTTTTATTGGCCCCCTTTGTTGCATTATCAATTGAAAGTCTTCACTAAAGGGCCAAGAACTACACATTGACGTAGAAAAACGCGACGTGTAAAGTTGATGCCACTGCTCCTTTAATTTTAGTAAATAAGCTTCATTTATGCTTCCTTTCTAGTCGTGAATGTTGCCATCAGCCTCAGAAATTTAACTCCAGTTGTTTAATGCTCTTGTATTTACATCTCACAGTAGCCTGCCCTAGCTAGCAGGTAGATATCACATTATTCCTTGTGTTCAATCATTCTTCTTGGTGACAGCTGTTCTTTAATGGACCTCGTTAGTGCCTCACTGCTGATGTTCTTAGCTTGCATTAAGTTTAATGCTTGGGAATTTCTGCATGATCTTTTACAGGTTCTACAGTCAGGACTCCTCTTTTGTGCATGGGGGCCCTGAAAAGCAGGAGTGTGCGATGGGTCAGCATGACATCCATCAGCGCATCATGCAGCTTAACTTCCGTGACTGTCATGCAAAGATCAAGCAAGTGGACTCGCTCACTACTTTGGGTGAAGGTGTCGTTATTCAGGTGAGTATTTCTGTACCTCCGTAACTGAAAGAACATGTTAGTATTTACCCAGCAATGCTGGCAGTGATGGGTTTTTAATGATGATGTAATTTGCGCCAGAGATCTTGCAGATGGACAAATGCCTGTTGTCCTCAGCATCTGCTTGACCACTGTCGATAAATATGTCCTGAAAAAACCCTATTGCCTTCTGGGGTGTTAATTAGTGCAATTTTTATTTTAGCAAAGAGGTCCTGCAGGACTTCTTGCACATATTCAGATAATGCTCCCAACCAGTAGTCAAGGCTCCATAAATATGCGAGCCGAATATTATTCAGGATGTCCACCAGCCTGTAAAACCTGAAAAAGTTGGGAAGGAATTCGGACATGCCTGGATAAGAGGGGGATAGTTGTGGAATTTCTGGAAAACCTTGCAAGGTCATTGCAGTCTTTGCAACCATCATGAAAGTAATCATTACCATTGATCATACCGTAAAAATTTGCATACCTGCCAAGTCTCCGGGATTTAGACAGTTTTTGTTTTTACGGTAGTCGGGAAAATTACCCGCAAATCGAAATTTCTGTTCGTGATCTGGCCGCATTGACAAAAATGCAGGTCAATCCGCTCAAGGCTTTTTGTGAACCTACCGCATTTTATTATAAACGAATTTAGAAGGCATTCGTCTAAACGCTCTCAGTGAATCTCAGTACAATCTCAGTGATGCAAAGCCGCGGCAGATACGAATTCGTGAAATTCCCCAGCAAAGTTCCACTGTGCCCATCGAGCCAAAATTCTAATGTTCCGAACAGTTTTCCTGATTGCAGCGGGTGGTATGAACTTCAGTACCGAAACCGTCAAACGAATGCCGAGAGCAGCATGCTTGAAGCTTCGCAAGTAAGCGTGCAGCCAGCGCATGCGCAGTCTTTTACAGTGCGTGTAGTTGTCTTTACAACCGCTGTGGACGAAACCGCGGTCGTTCTTGACACAACCATGTATGGCGACGACAGAATTCTGAAAGTGTGCGTGCATCCAACGCTCGATCAATCAAAGCAACGCCTGGAAAGTCCTTAAAACCCTTGATTTTTTGCCTTCAAAGCCTGTACAAACCTTGTACGCAATTTAGTAGCAAGACAAAAAGGAAGTGCGGTGAAACCCTTGGAGGAAGGTGAAAGCTTAACGGGGACCTCATCACAAAGTTGAGTTCCTATTATGGCTGGGCGCTTAAATCTCGCAAAGGAGATGTTGACGGCATGCACAGAGCATTGATGGCGATTTACTATCACGTCACTTCTAATGATAGTGAGTCAAAACGCAGCCTGTGTCCGATGCGCCGCCGCGGTGGTCTAGTGGCTAAGGTACTCGGTTGCTGACCCGCAGGTCGCGGGTTCGAATCCCGACTGTGGCGGCTCCATTTCCGATGGAGGCGGAAATGTTGTAGGCCCGTATGCTCACGTTTGAGTGCACGTTAAAGAACCCCAGTTGGTCGAAATTTCCGGAGCCCTCCACTACGGCGTCTCTCATAATCATATGGTGGTTTTGGGACGTTAAACCCTACATATCAGCTTGTGTCCCACAGGCCCAAACTGTAGGTGCTGGCAGATTGCAGCTGCTGCCAAAGGGCAGCCAACTCCAAGGCACCATTACAATTTGCCTCAACATGTGTGAGAGGCTCTTCTGCCAGTATATGAGCGCCTGTCTGGTAAAGGGCTTCTAGAAAGGTGCCAAAAAAGGTAAAGCCCAGAATAGCAATGAACGCCTTCATTTTATGATCTGGGCTCTGGCACCTAAACAGCGGTTGAAGCTGCAGTTGCCGAGACAGTAATTAAGTTCAACGGCGGCAACTTGAGAAGGCAGACAGGCATCCTCGACGAACTCAATCTCAATTCCAGCCTCCCAAGTGTCAGAGGGATGACCGAGAAGGACAGGTGGCGAGTGGCCGACTAAAACGGCAAGCGTGCCTCCAGTGAAAAACTCCAGCAAGCGCTAAAGAAGTGCATTGCAGTGCTAAGCTCCAGTCGGACTATGTTCCTGGTGGCTATTAGTATCTACTTTGTCAAATACACATCTTATTGTTTTGTATAAAGTGTGTTATCTGTTTTTGCTATTTTTCTCAAAATATGAATTAATGACTGTTGAATCTTGAGGCCTCAATATTTCGGCAGCTATGGCAGCTAGAGCAATAATTTTCTTTTTGCAATGGAAACTTGTATGTGTGTAGAATGCAAGTACGGAAATGGAATTTAGAAAACAAGCCTTTTCAATAATTTCTTATCAAATTTGTAATAGCATGCAAACAGCTTTTTTAGAGTGGGAAATTCATTCTGCCATAAAATAACTTAAAAAAGCCTACTAAAATAAACTACTTCCATAATTTCAATCTTCAATCATTAATCTATGCTGCCATATCTTAAATGTTACTTTTAAGGGGAGACGCTACTCGAAAACACTTTTTCTTTAGTTTTCAAGTTAGGGTTTCCAAAATTTAGCCACAGAGATATTTTTTCTTGTAGATTCCAAACTGTTATCAGATTTTGTGTAGCCTCATTACTTTTAAAGTTATTATACATGCAATAGCAAAACAAAGGGATTTTTACTCTCGCTTTTTCGACATCAAAACTTTTGTGTAGATGTTTGTGTAATAGCTTATTATGCTTGTCATGAACTACTGTGTGCATTTAGGAGGTTAAAATTACGAGAAAAAAAAGCTGTTACTACAAAAAATGAACAGACCTGCCAAACTTCTTTTTTTCAGGGTTCCTTGTATCATTTCTTGGTATGTTTTTATTGATAATGGCTATGCATCATAAATCAGAATAGATAACGGCACTCTACACACCTTGAAGAATGTGTGTGCCAAGTTTCATCGCAATAGGACAATTTTAAGGGGATGAAACTATGCGAGTGAAATGTGACCGTGGCCAAAAATTTCAAAATGAGAAAAACACGTTTGAAAGTTTGAAACATGTTTACTAATTAGGGCGCACTTGAAAACACTCAAAAGTGTGTCCAGGCAGTATGTCCAGGAGCTGGCCACGGTGACTAGAATTCACCCGCACTGTATGTAACTCCTTCGCGGTCCTTCCGAGCGGAGTCCTGTAGGCGAGCTCTCTTGGCCGATGTGCGGCGGTGAGCCCTCGCCTCAGCAGTCTGTTGGGCATTCATCTTCTGAATGCGCCTCTTGTCGCTGTAGTCCCCCAGGTGGTCAAGCTTGCTGGTGGTAGAACACCAAGCTCCTCCAGGACCACCTTGAAGCTTGCATGGCCCAGGTTATACCAGAGCACAGCAATGGCTGTGGCAGTCTCCACAGCACTTCGGGAAGCAAACTTTGTTTTTGGGCACAGCAGCCACACCTTGCTGTTGAGAGACTCAGCAGCGTTCCGAGTTTTCCCTCGAAGGCATCGGGCCAGCAGCTTCTCGTCAAAAAGGCGCTTGTATATGTGCAGCAGTGCCCGGCCCTGTGCCTTTGTCAGAAGTGGTGTATGCTGTGGTGCAGGCTCGCCCATTGCTTCAGCACGCTTGTGCTTGCCCCACGATTCTTGGCCTGGTGGGCAGAAGTTGTGGCTGCCAGCACCATCAGTGGAGCAAGAGTGAAAGTAGGACGCCCATATGCCAGTGTACATGTCCCGTAGGTTGCCTCTATTGCCCGTGATGGCGATCTGATAATATGTCTGCAGCTTTTCAATGGTGGCAGGCTTGAGCTTCTCACCTCTGGGCAGTGGTGTCGGCAATTTGCGTATGCCAGTGCCTAGGCACTTCGCAACATGATTAGTGCAGTCCTCCTTGCAGATGGCACCTGCACCGTACACCTTGGCATCACAAACTCCGTTATATGCTTTGCTGTCGCCATCACTAAGAAATGTTGCGAAGCGAAGTGGAGTCTCATACAGCAAAGTGCGCTCCCATATCCGTAGTGCTGCTTCAGCTTCCATGCCATGAGCGGAGCTGTCGGTGTTCTTCTCACAGACAGGTCTGTGGTAGGCCTGCCAGATTTCCTCTTCAGAGCCCATGTCGTTGTGTAGACTGCAAGCGTGGCAGTAATTCGACAGCACTTCGAAATCTAAGCACAGGCCGGTGTCCAAGGAGATAGCCGCGCCGACTCCGTTGTGGCTTTTATGGCCCTGTTTCTGCCAAGTTCCATCATACATTACGGCCACGTCACTACTATCAACCACCTGCTTTGTTACGGCTCTTGCCTGGTTCAAATTTTCGGTCACGGCCCTCATAGCAGCATCGTGAACCTTCTTGCTGATTGCCTGGAAGGTTTTGTGGTGCATGGGCTTCGCTAGTCGAACAATCGCACAAAACCGCGAAAGCTGGTCATGTCCGATGCCTATGGCACGCGAGGCTACAACAGCTTTCACATTAGCCGCGAAGCTATCGCGCGAGCTGCCGTTGCCGTAGTGCCCCACCTCCGCGCAGTCGTCGGATGCTGCGGCGGCTTCGCCAGAGGCAACACGCCTCGACGTATGTGTCGAGACGTGCACTCACCAGACGCGCACTCACTGTTCTCACACCGCAACTCGAGACAGGACGACAGTCCTTTGCGCCGTTCTGCCACCTCGCGAACAAGTTTGTGTTCACGGCAAGACGGGCACTCCGCTCCGCCCACAAGTGCCGTCATCGCATCGATGTCGCACAGCACTGCTGATGATACGCCATCATGCGCATGCCTTTGGTTCTTCTCAAAAAACTCCAGTTTTTTTTGTGAGGCGCTGACGAAGTTTGCGGCAGCGTCGAGGTCGCCGGCAAAGTCACTGTCGCGATAGTTGCCGATGCTGGGGCAACTATCCTCCGACCTCCGGCCTAGACCTCTCCGGGCCGTTCACCTTTGCCGCAGTCTGACGACGCACTTTACGACGTTTTCCCACATACTTGTTTATCGTCCGGTACTTTTTCACCTTGTAAACCTGCTTTCTGGCAGGATTCATCGCGTAACTAATTGAATAAATCCTTGCGAAGTTCAGCTTGCGATGCAGAGCGGGGCCGAAGGGACAAGCGGGCACTGTGCTAGCCAAAGGCGGGCTCGCTACGGCACCACGTGACACGCCGCGCTATTCAAACGGCACGCAGGGGCGTTCAAAAAAGGATTTTTTATAGTAATTTTTTCTTTCCGGACGAGACTTTTCGAGCCTGTGTTCAAGAGAGCATGGACAACTCTAACCGCCTCAGTGATTACAAACGGCGCACGGTGCCGCTGCCTCGAGATACCGGGGCCGGCAAAACGTCGATTTCGGCAGATTTCAGCGATTTTCTAGGTCTCCGGGGCTTACTTGAGCACATTTTTCAGTAACTTCTGACACGAATTACCGATTGAAATTTATTTCTGGTAAACATGAATGTTTAAAGAATCTAATACGACTGAAAACAAAAAAGTGAAAATTTCCAGAAAAACGCGATTTTTCGACCCGCGTCTCCCCTTAATTAAGCATTTTTTTCTAATGAGGCCTTAAACAATGGGGGTTGAACTTGCATATTCTTGGGAATGAGATGAGTTACAGGAAAACTGATTGACTATTTGAAAGCAGCAGAAAAACTGCACAAGCCTGGGCAGTTTCATCAAGATCACTGAACAAATAAAGAAAAAGTGTCTAAAGTGAGTCGGTTCCCTTAAGGCCGGGAATACCCTCCCTATAGACTACGAAAGTAACTCCGAGGCGTGTATCACAGAGTCTTTATTTGAAAAATACATAAGCACACTTGACCGCAAGTTTGTGTGGCAAGGGAGAAAAGTGGTATTTGTTGTTGTCAACTGTGGCGTGCCCGGTAGTGTGCCGAACCTTGAGGCCATTCGGCTCGAATTTTTGCAACGTAACACCACAAGTGTGCTCCAGCCAATGGATCAAGGCGTGATCTGAAACATCAAGACACGCTACCGTGCCTGCCTGCTCAGCCGCGCAGTCTTGTGCCTTGACAGTGGAAAGGTCGACATTCTCGCCGCCATATATATGCTGGCCGAAGCTTGGAACGCGGTGAAGGCAGACACCATTGTGCATTGCTTTAGATCATGCCGGGTTCGCTGTTGCCGAAGAGCTAGAGGCAGATGACCTGGACGTAGGCCGTCCGGGCACCGATGGCGGGGAGGACCTAATGCGTGATCTGCCCAGTAGTGGAGAATGTGCCTGCATAAAAAACATGCATGCATGAAAAATCACCGCCATATCCACAAAGGGATGTGATGTTGGAGGTGTTTGCTCGGAGATGATCACGCAATTGATGAATCCTCCGCACACATCCACAATCATAGACAGTATATAAACGTGACAACGTTCATATATATCCCATGGAGCATTGTTCGTTTGCATGTTGCTGCACATACCACATACTTTTAGTAGAAAACTGCGTCTTGCTCACAATTTTTTCATGCAGTCGTAAAGATATCACACAAATGCCTATGTTTATTGATAGTGACATGATGTAGGCCATATCTATGACAATAATAGTTAAGCACATGCTGGGGGCCCCCGCCGTACTCATTTATTTAAAAAATGCATTTTTGCGTGTACCCCGTATTCCCTTACGAAGGCAGGTCCTCCTGCGGATATATGCGGATGATACTCCGATCATATATATATATATAAAAATTAGTGCAGGGACAAATTAGGTAAGCTTGCCCCTTCCTTCTCGCAAAGGAGTTGGTACGCCACTGGCATGGACTGTCTCCGGAGATGTCTTAGAGCATGGCTTAGGGATGGCCTCTCCTCGGCGTATGCATGACAAGGCGAGGTTAAACCTAGTTAATGCACATCTGTGGCTTGATTATTGATAAGCAGCAACCCCAAGATTTTTTATTTTGTTTTTGCATACAATACAGTCGAACCCCGCTGCAACGAAAATGACAAGGTGCGGAAAAAATTTCATTGAAGTGAAAACAATGGAATGTTTATTTTCAAAATTCAAAAGTGTCCGCTGTGTCCTATTCTTTCCCAGCAGCATCGCGACGCGATTATCACCCATGCAGAGTGAGGCTATGGTGAAAAGCACGCTGAAACAAGGCCTACAACAGCTTTTGTGAATGAATCAAACAGCTGCATTGACACGTTAAAACCAGCAGATATCCGCCGTTAAAGTGCATCTGACAACACCGAGATGGCGGCAGGGTATCTTGAAGCGGTGACTTTTGCCTTATTGTACGTCATTCTTATCCACCACTCGCGGCTGCGAACAAATTGACACTCATTGGCATCGAAGAAGGCGTCATTCCACACAGCTGCGTGAAAGAAAGCCATGAACTGAGCAACTGAGCTTCAGCTTTGGAACGTCTGCAGCTTAAAATCAAGCAAGTGGCAAAAGCAGGGCAGTCTCATTGCCATCACTATCGAGCAAAGGAGGCACCCATGTTTGCTGAACAGCGGCGGTTTCTGGTGGTGCCAACGCGTGTTTGACTTCTTCGACGTATTTCCGAGTTCTGAAAATGCATCAAAATGTTAAAGACTGTGTTTACTGTATTGCAATAAATATCTGAGCCTGTAATTGCATCGTGATTTCGTTGAAGTGGGACGGCAGAAAAAAAAGTGCTCATTGTGGCGTTATTTATTCGTTGACTCCTATGGACTGCCGACGCGTCGTTGACTTCTATGGACTGCCGACGCGGAACCGTGAATTTTTCGTTATTGTGGAAATTTTGTTGAAACGGCGTTCGTTGTAGCAGAGTTCGATTGTAGATGTTTTTCCTCGAGTTATAAGAGCTTCGCACTGAAAAAAGTCCCAGCTGTCTATTTCTAACCTAGGCGACCTGTGCCCACTAGAGTAGAACTTTTCTCTGTTTGCTGCCCAGATATCTGAATGTGTCAGCAGTTGAAAATGTCAAGGTTGACGTGGGAATATTTCTGACAATAGAAATATTGAGATTATATATTTCGAGAAACACTGGGCTGAACCAGTGAGAGTGAGTGACGCATTGTGTTAGCTTGGATTTCTGCATCCGAATTCTGTAATTAGGGAGTTGTGGTGCTGTCTAATTTATTTTTATGGGCATAATTTTTCTTATTTGCTTTTGTAGGTGACAGGAGAGTTGTCCAATGCTGGCCAACCCATGCGTCGTTTTATGCAGACATTCGTTCTGGCACCTCAGCAGCCTCTGAAGTACTATGTGCGCAATGACATCTTCCGTTACCAAGATGAGGTATTCACAGAGGAGGAGGAAGAGGAAGAAGGCAATACGGCTGCTGAGCAAGCTCAGGAAGAGGTTTCCGAGCCCCTAATGGCACACCATCAAGCTGCGCATTCGGAAGTGGTACAGCACACTGCTGATGCCACAACTGCTTTGGTGAATGAAGCACCCGTGCCTCCTCGGGGAGAGCAGCTGGGCAATGGTGGTAGCAGTCCACCTTCCAACAGTGTGGCTCAAACTCCTGGTCGGCCTGCTTATTTTGATTCTCAGGTGAGGCCAGTTACCCAACTTGTGAAAAAATGGTCTTGCTAGCTTCGCAGTATAGTAGAAGTCTTAATTGACAGCCACCTGTGTAAGTGAAAAACCTTCTTTGCTGGGCAGCAGGTCATGCGAAATGGGACAGCACATCTAGTCCCAGAGGTTGAGATTTCTTCACAAGCATCTCTGACAAGTGGCAGCCCTCCAGAAGCACCTTCGTCAGCACCCACGGTTGCTACCACTAATTCAATGAACTGGAAAGACGATGAATCTCCAGCACCACCTACTGCACCTCAGGTCAATCATCAGGGTAAGCCTATAGCTACATTTTATTGTGGAAAAATAAACCATTTATTAAGCCAGTGGCTTTTAAAATTTCTGGTCATGAAACTCTAGCAGGTTTTCTTGAAGGCTGCATTGCTCTTCCCATTTTTCTTCACATTGGCTTACAGTATGAAGAGAGGGGAGAGGTGACTGCTTTTGAGTTTACCTGATGAAAGTATCACTGCTGCAGTATTGGTATTATCTTAATCTGTTGACTGCCCATTAAAGAAAAAAAATTCTGGTCAAAAAGTGCCTATTTTTTTTTACTGCTGATTTCGATTCTGATTGTACTAGAAAGTGACTAGTCAATGTTGAAAAAATGTTTTCTATGTTGAAAAATGTAGCCATCTAGTGGATGACACGCAATGTAACACATAAATGCGCAATTTTGTGCCTGAACGTAGAGTGGAGTATCTATTCCCCTAGGGCGAGTTCTGCGTGTCCAAAGCAGTTTGGGCAGGACGAGCTCTGCTCGTCCAAAGCAGTAAAAAGGACAGGGTAACCAAAAATATTGAAAAAAAAAAAAAAAAGTTTTTTACGTGCAATTTGAAATCTGCAGCCTTTTTCGAACCAGAATCAGTCATTTGTTTGTTCTAGTGTCCTTTCTATCTAAAAACCACATATTTCGAAACTTATGCGGCGGCCTGCTTCACCTTCCTTAGGACCCTTCACCTGAGTGCGCAGTGGGCAGCTGAAAATGCACCGAAATGAAGGGCACTAATTTTTTGACAAGTTTAGTGGGAACGATATTTGGTCTGGCAACAAGTGCTTCATTTGTCGAGTCTATGCTCAACCGCATTTAAAAGTACTTTGCGCACGTTTTTCTTGCACGTGTTGTTTTGCGCGTTGTTCGCAGAGTTCCAAAAGTAATATGGTTTAGCCATTAGAAGAAATATAGCGAGATTAGAGGACATACGAAAGGCTGCCTGGGCCATATATTTTCACATGGCATCATTGAATACCACTTCATCCCACGGCCTTTGCCTAAAGGACGCTGATACCTGGTTTTAATTCAATAAAGCCCACTTCAGTGGTGAACCATACATTCTTAAAGAACACCTTCCGGCAGCTGTTCTTAAGGCTGTTAAGGCAATTTATGAGAAACTTGCTAATCCCCAATTACTTGCTAAATGCCTCCACGGGAAAACTCGAAACCCCCATCGAGTCATTCAGCAATGTCGTATGGAAGCACGCTCCAAAAAAATTTTTCTCGGACACCTAACACTGAAAATATGCAGTCTTGACGCTGTAATCAGCTTTAATGATGGCAGTATAGCTCGTGTGAATGTGCTGAACTTGTTTGGAATTTCGCCAGGTCGCTACACAGTGCAGGGTCTGTGCGCACTTGACCTGCATCGACAGTACTTTGCTGACAGGGCTGCGAAGTAGGCGACAAAGGAGGCCTCAAAAAGAAAAAGTGCTATTGGTAATGAGTATATGGCTGCTGCCTAATAAAAATGTCTTTAAATTGGCAGTTATGTTGTGGTACTTTTGAAATAAGCATATTTTTCACTTGAAACCTGATTATTTCAAAACTTGATTTTTTGTATTTTGTTCCTTTTTTTCAGCACCACAGTATCTAGAAACATAAATTTCAGACAGTATTTAGAGAGTGTACTAGAGAATATACTGAAGAGCGTACTAGAGAATATACTGAAGCAGAATTATTCTAGTGTGAGCAAGTACTTTTTTCTAATACATCTAATACCGATCAGTGGGTGATAATTGGGTACCTTAAATAAAAGAAATTGCAAAAAATAAGCATTAAGAGTTACAGGGATAATTCTATTTCAGTAAGAAAAAGGAATGGCTTATGATAACAATGATAGTAATATAATTACTATAACCTATCGTTATGGAAAAAAACGTACATAAAGTCTGCCTAAAATACATGTGGGGTATAGAGCTTACCCTGATCCTTTAACCCCTTGACTGCTTTGGACGAGCAGAGCTTGTCCTGCCCAAACTGTTACCAAACTGCTTTGGACGAGTAGAAGTCGTCCCAGCGGAATAGGTACAGTCGAATCCGCCATAACGAAGTTGGCTTCAACGAATGCTTCGAAATTTCCTCCAGTACGAACTTCTTCACGGCTATGATTCCACTTCAACAAAGTTTTTGTGGAACAACTATTAGCGATAATATTTGAAGTAGAGCTTATTAAAAATCTCAAAAGTGTTTTTAATGTCTTGCCAAACCACGGACCTTAATAACATGATATAATAATAGCACATGAGAAGCTGCTTGGAGCAAACATACCGCACGCAATGTTGACTTGTGCAACGTAAACAAAATAGCATGCCGTGGTATATGATGACGATGAGATGATGAGTGATGGTGACACAAGCGCTCTCTCAAGTAAGTTTAAAAGAAGTGTTGAATCGTTTCTGCGTACAAACAGCACGCAATATTATTTTTTACTATCTGTAATCATTCTTATGAAGTTTTTGAAACTGTTTTCATTGTCAGGAGTTGCTGCTTTATGTACACACCAAAATTGAAATTGCGTGCCAAATCCCGGTAGGGTGCGACGAGATGTTTGGGTGACGACTTCTGGTGCTTCCGGTTTCACTGGCTAGCTGCACAACGAGCCGTTGCAGGCATTGCGGTCATTGTTTCCCAAAAGTGCGTTGTCGCGAATCAGCCAGTATCAGCCGGGGAAGAAGTAAAGTTTTTGTCGCTCGAAGACAAGGCTCGCATTATCGCCGAGGCCGACGCTGGGAGAAATAAGTTCTGAATCGCTGAAGAGTTTGCGATTGTGGTGAGCTCTGTTTTAACTATATTGAAGAGCAAGGACGTCATAATCAAAGCTCTTTCTTAGGGAACGTCGGCGAAACACAAGAAGTTGACGCAGCCAACGCACGAAGCCTTAGACAAGACTGTCTACACCTGGTTTGTTAGACGCAGGCGAAGAAAATTGCCCTTAGCGGCTATATTGTGCCACAGAAAGCGTTGGATTTTGCATGCGTGCTCGGCATCGACAATTTTAAAGCCAGCGTAGGTTGGCTGAACAGTTTCAAAGCCTGCCAGAATATCACCGGCAAAGTTTTGTGCGGTGAAGCTGCTTCGGTGGATACAGACGGTGCCACCGCTTGAATGTCGGCCAGCCTCGGGAGCATCTTGACGGACTACGCACCGTCGCATATATACAACGCCGACGAGACAGGCCTCTTCTACAACATGCTTCCCAACAAGACTCTGGACTTCAAGGGGCAAGGGAAGCACAGCAAAAAAAGGATAACCGTGCTTCTGTGTGCCAGTATGGATGGCTCAGATAAGCTGCCTCTTTTGGTTATTGGGAAAAGCGCGAAAGCACGCTGTTTGAAGGGAAATTTGCACTTTCCAATGAGGTACGAGGCCAGCAGCTGGGCATGGATGACCCCTGTAATTTTTGGCGACTGGGCTAGAGAATTCGACCCGGACATTGGCAGGCAAGGCCGAAAGGTGTGTCTGCTTTTAGACAATTGTACTGCGCACGCCATTGAGGGCGTGGAGCTCAAAAACATGCAACTCAAGTTTCTGCCCCCAAACTAATGTCCATCATTCAGCTGCTTGACCAGGGGGTCATCCAAAGTATTAAAAGCAATAACCGCAAGCCTCTTATTCAGAAGCTAACTTTGAACACTCAGTTGGGGGCGTAAGACGAAAATCTACCTATAAATGGCGCTCCAAATGATTGCTGCTTCATGGAGCGAGACGGGGCGCGCCATAGTCGCGAACTGCTTTGGCCATGCAGAGTTCACTGCGGAGAGGGCAGAGACTTCGGGTTCTGCGATTGAAGCTTGCGACGAGGACGAATCGCCCGACGAAGAAATCGCAGTCACATGGGCAGACCTGCAAGAAGGTGATGTGCCTGCCAGTGTGTATCTCAACGAGTTCCTCCAAGCTGACTCTCTGACATGGTGATGTGCGAGGAAATCTCTGACAAAGACATCATAAAAAGGGTACAAGAAGAGAGTGCTTTGTCAGATGATAGATGACTGCGCAACGCGATCTCGTACTACCACTGACTTCGTCGGGGCTGGCCACATTCGACATCATCAGGCGTTACATCGGGGCGCAGGACGATGACGAAGCAATGGCTCTGTTGGCGGTGTGCGAAAGTCGTGTTGTACAATCGCTTGGCAAGAAGCGAAAACAGGCAAAGTTGACCGATGTTTGGAATTAAAGCTTGTTTTTGAGTGAGTCGAGTGTCATGAATGTATTTTATCATATTGCAACAACAAATTTCTGCGACAACGAAATTTTTCGCCCGCACCCTCAATTTCATTGTTGCGAGATTCGAATGTACTCCCCTCTAGCATCCGGGGGGAGAAGTGTGCTTTTACGGGTTACATTGTGTCATCTGCTATAAGGCAGCATCTTCTCAAGAATTTTAGGCGAGTTAGCTTTCTCTTGCGGCAGGAGCGCGGTTTTTGTGTGGAAAGATGGCATGCAGTGGTGGCGACTCATGCATAACTAGCCCTTGAACACACACACAAAAAAAGATATTCGTTTTCGTCTTCTTTGAGGGATGTTTCGAGTACAGGATCTTGTGTCCGAAAGGGAAGAGAGAGAGCAATGGGGGGGAATGAGTAGGGCCTCCGGTAATCATGAAGACGGCTTGGATGCCAACATTGCGAGTGCCTGTTAGTAAAGCCACCTTGCGTATTTTCGTGCTTTGAATTTTTTTCACACAGCGCCGAAGCATTCCCGAGTGAAATACGCGGAGGGTGCTTAGCCTACACAAGCATACCTGCAAAGTTTCCCGGATTGGCCGGGAGACTCCTGGATTTCGACAGTTTCTTCCGTTAGCAAGATTGTCATGAAAATCACCCAGAAATCAATTTTTGTGTGTGATCTGGCCACATTGGCAAAAAAACAGCTCAATCCGTTCCAGGCTTTTCGAACCTACCCCATTTTATTATAAACGAGTTTAAGAGGCGTTCATCTAAATGTACAGTAGAATCTCGGTGACTCGAAACCACGGCGGATACGAATTTGTGAAA